GCAGTCACAAACTACGTAGCATGAAAAATGTATGGATTCCAATCTCAACTATCTGCACTGACCAATCTTGAACTTGTCATTGGTCAGCATCCTCAGCTACCACTTGCAGTCTTTACCTCACTCCTCAAAACCACAAATGGCTGCCCCACACCCCTTTCATCTATTAAATGGCCCAGACTCTGAAGAGCAAACATTCAAAGAACATACACACTGCTGTGGTGGCCAGCTGTCTGCCACTCAGTCCCTGACTCATGACAAGCCAGGTAGGTACAAAGAGACTAAACTTTAAAGCATTGCAATCCATTGTTTCCAGCAGCTCATTTTAGAGAAGCAGATCAAGATGCCCTCTCTAATCTTGAAACTTGTACAGCATCATCCAAAAAAAAAACCTGCACTGCCAGTGAGTTGATACTGCCTCACAGTGAACCCTATGAGACAGGGCAGAATTGCCCTGGCGGGTTTCCAAGACTGTCATTCTTTACAGGAGCAGAAAGCCTAGTCTTTCTCCCTCAGAGTAGCTGGTGGTTTTGAACTGCTGACCCTGCCATCGGGGCTGCTCATAAACACACAAACGTCCACTGTGGGCCAGGGACAGGACTACACAAGATATGCTCTGGCCAGAAATCAAACCCAGGTCTCTCATATATTCGTAGTATCATTTTAGGCAGGAGAAACAGATTAAATAGATTGGAGAAGGAACTTGCTCTTAAGCACAGATTTTTGAATCTGAATCCAGAATCCCACTGTACTTTTCAAGAGAATAGACTAGTTAAGATGCATGAAGTATTCATTCATTCTTACACTAAGCAGTCATTAAGGCCGACATGCCAGACTCTGGTTATATGCTGAGATCCCAGCAGAGAAATAGTCTGTGCTCTCCTAGAGCTTCCAATCTCAAGACACTCCCCCATCCACTCAATTGTTTTACTCAATTGCAGTTCTGTCATGAGCCATGAACACTGTGGCTAAGACCTAACCACCTATCCTTTAAGGCCCAACGGAACGCTTCTGGTCCTCAGTCCTTTTTGCCTACTGGCAAACGTAGTATCTCCTAGTTTCATGGCACTACCAGTATCTCCGACATTGAGAACAGGTCGACTCCAGTGTTTGTTTTGGTTTAAAAAACAGGCAGTCTTCTTGTGGCAAGATGTCTGGGTTTTATCTTGGATTTCAGTCAATTCTATGGTGATCCTCTTGGTGCATTAGTCATGTCACCACCATCCTCTACAAGCAGAAATCAATGTTCTGCATTGGGGAAAACACTGCAAAGGCACTCTTTTAAAGTGTTCCAAAGCCAAGATGTCACACCTTGAGGGCTAAGGTGTGCCTGACTCAGGCGGGTACTTTCAATCACCTCTTCCACATGCAAGTGCCGGGCAATGACTAAATGATGGTGTTCTCAGAGAATACTGACTACACCAAGAGCTGCCAGAAGCATGAATATATATTTGCCTCGAAAGAAGTACAGCCACAATGCTCCTTAGAAAGCAGGAGGGCAAGACTGTCTCACATACTTTGAGCATGTTATCAGGAGGGACCAGTACCCAGAGAAGGACACCATGCTTGGTAAAATGAAGGTCGGTGAAAAAAAGGAGGAAGACCCTCATTGAAATAGATCGGCACAGTGCTCAAACATAGCAAATATTCTGAGCACAGCATATCGTTCCTTGGAGCACAGGGTCACCATGGTTTATAAAGTGGAGCCTACCAACCACCTTCACTTAAAGGATTGATGGTGCCAGGCAGTTACTTTCCACAAATTTTCAGCTGCAATTTATAGCTTCATAGTTTCCTGCCATGTGTAAAACTAACCTATAGGTAATCCTCTTCTTCTGTCTACCTAAAAGGAAAAAACACTACAAAAATATGAATTTTTGCCAGTTCAGAAACAAGCACTTCCACAAGTAGCTGGTAAAGGATTTCACATAATGAAAGTGGCTTCAAGAAGCTCAAGGGGAAAAATGGAATGGTAATGGTACTCTGCCTTTCTTCTTCTTGCCTAATCACCTCATCTTTGGTCCCAAAGGTTAAGTGCTCCACTACTGACTGAGCGACACCCAAAGGCTCCAAGGGATAAACACCTGGTGATCTGCTGCTCTGAAGGTTGCAGCAAAGAAAACTTACAGGACCGCTCTCTGTCACATGAGTTGCCATGACTCAAAATTGACTCCATCATATGCAACCTCCACTACCAGAAAGTAAAGGGATTGCAGGCTCAACGGTTTCATTCAAGATCTGAAATAGAGATGAGTAAATCCTACATGAACATTTTTTAAAAACCTCACTGCCATACAGCCATTTCTGACTCACAGTGACCCTCTAAAGCAGGTAGGACTACCCCTGTGGGTTTCCAAGACAGTATTTCTTGACTACAGTTGAAAGCCTCATCTCTTACTCCCTAGGAGTTAGTGGTTTTTAACTGTTGACCTTATGGTTAGCAGCCTAAGGGATAATCCACACCACCACCAGAGCTCCCTCTACAGAAACATCTAGGCAGGGGATTCTTGGACGTTTGTTAAAATTTTGTTGTTCCCTAATGTCATCAACTTAAATCCCCGTGTGTTTATAAAAGGTTCGTGATATTAATTTGTAGATGACAGCTAGCTATCTAATGAACTATACTCCCCTGTAAGTTTTCAGAGCAGTTGTGAAGTTCAGTGTACTTTATTTCACTGCTCTTGGAGCACACACAAAAACTCCACTCTTCACCGCCCCTCAGATCTATGCTCGCAAAAATAAAATTAGTTTCCGTTTCTGGCCAGAATTATAATCCTATGATTGTAGCAGAGTCACTTTACTACTCTTATTAAAATGCACCATCGATTCCCATTCAACTTGAGCACTAAGCCCTTATTTCCAGAACTGCCAAGGCTAAGATGTTCTAAAATGTGATACCGGAACTACATATTCCAGGTATCCTGAGCAGCCAAGTGAAAATTCACCATCAGTTCAGATCACGTGATGAAATCTGCCCACCTATCCACAGATGGGAAGATAACCAACAAAAGTATTTTCTTGGGTCTGGATCT